CGACAAACAACTTGTATTGTAAACTGTATTTCAATAACCATATGTTACCTACATGTGAAGCAAATTATAAGCTAGAATAATATGAGTCGTCCTTGACCTAAATATGTACTTACTGAATGTAAGTTGAATGTAGAGGCGGTACTTTAAGTAAAAAATCGTGCTATGGGGTTAGATAGAATCGAGTTCCACAGTTCTCTCTCTTGTTTACTTCCGTCAATTCTTTTCTGGAGTTGTATTTATGTACTATAAAACATGAGAAATCGGCACAATCCTTTTACTTTCGCACATATTCTTTTTTTTAAGAAGGGTATATTAAGGTTTCTTAAGGGTCTACAACGTGCAGGTAACTCCCCTGGTATTTCAGGCGTCCGTCCGTACGGTAACCATTTACCATCAGATGGGGCGTATGCTTGTTTGTCATCATAGCAGTATAAAAAAAATGTAAATACTTTATATATTTTATAAAAAATCAGATGACGGTTTTAGAACTTTTTCCTCATTTATCTTAACTCTTTCTTTTATTCAATAAAAATTATATGCACAATATATTAATTTAATATCCTTAAACTACTTTGCAACTGTTTCTTCTTCGCGCAAAATATATACAGGAATAATTTCACTATACTTTCATATAATGACATTAATGAAATATGCAAAATTGATGATACAAGCATACTCTTCCTAGATATATTTTATCAACATATTAAAATAGATATAAAAAATCAACAAACTTTTTTATTAAGTTAAATGGCTACGGGTCGATGAGCACACCTAACGAGACGTAGTACTATTGTGTATTCTATGTACATATATATATATATACTAGCGACACGTCATCATGCGTCATGATTACAGTAATCAGAATCTTAAAAAAATGTAGTATACCTATTTTGTTTGTCATTGTTAGTTTAGACGACAAAATACACTAGAATTAAATGCGCCATGTCTAGACAGCCAAACTCAGATTGCTCGTTTACTACTTGACTGAGGTTTATTCCTGCGTTGTCTTGTCTTGTTTGTTTGCGTTTATTTCTGCGTACGCGTCGGGTGTCAAGTCCGCATTTAGCCGCAACATGAGCTGCGGCCGTGCAGTCGATACCACGATGCATCGCGCCAAACTAATGTCTCTGGCGCCGACAATAGGACGCGTCGCGACGGTGTTATTGTTGTCTCTTGTTTAAATAATGATCATAGTTAATTTAACATGATAAATGCAACAATTTGGTCACCTCATGGATTTTTTAGTATAAAAATATGGAACGAAGAAAAATAGATATGTAATTCATACAAATAAACTTAAAACTTTTTCTTAATACATGTTATGAACATGTATTAAGAAAAAGTTTTGAGTATTTACCACTATAATAACAAAACCTTCGTTTGTTTTAAAACTCCTCACTAAAACAAATACACATACACATGGTGATGGGTTAACATTGAAAAAATTTGGGATTATCTATTGATAATGCCAAATTTTTATCACCATCAAACAATAGGTACTAATGTGTTTTTATAATATTGCAGAAACCGGGTAATGTACTCGATATGATCTCAATGGAAATACGTATATTTTATTGTACTAGTTTTTTATTCATAATCTAAATAACCCTGCGAAATTCGTGTCACATATAATTATTTTTGAACACTTTCTGATTAACGATTATCTCTAATAAGCATTTAAGCTTCAATACATTTAGATCAATAATAAATACTGGCTACAACTTAAAAAAGTCCAAGCAATTTAGGAAGAATCGTTGTTAGATAGACTGATAGGTTCATTACCAACACCATCCATTAACAGTAATCAGAAGTAGCGTTCCGTCCCATACAGAGTTTAATTATTACAAATCAATCATCAACAGATATAGGACATTTTTTTCTCTTACTGTCAACGTTTTACTTACCGTTCAGTTCAGTTTATGTTAACATAGTCATATATTTAATTTACTTAGATATACACACATATTCCTTAAACTTAAGATTGCATGCACTAAATTAATGTAATTTATTAAAATAAGATCTATAATATATATATTATATAGAAGAATTTAATTTTCCAATAAGCTTTAAATGGGCCAGATATATAAATTAATTAAGGGGGTCTTCCTATGTGATGGGTTGAAAAAATCGATTTTTTTTTTTTCATAAATTGCTCCCTTAACATGTCTAGAATACGGTAGTAAAGCGATTTTAGAAAATTCGAAGTCGTTTTAAAGATACAGCAGGTAAAAGAAAGAGCGGTTCGGAGCGGTGAGTTGGCAGTTAGAGACCGGGCCTATTGTGTACCGTCGGCTTTATACCTGGCCTCCCTTTTATTAATATATTTGTTTATACAAGTTTAGACACGTTTCTACAGACTTAAACAGAAAAGGAGCAGGTAAACTTACTGATAAAGTTATCCAAGAAATTACAAAATTCTACGGATTAGCAATTCGACGCCATCCAGATTCGCTTGAAGATATGAGAAAGGAAGTTTGGGCAACGTACTATCACAAATGTTCTTCTGATGAAAACCCTCAGCATCAATTTTGTCGAGAAGGCGAAGACAGTTGGTGTAAATGGCGTAAGGCTGAAGCTAATAATGAACTGGACCAATTTCATCACGATAAACCACCTCTAATTCCGCAAGTCCAAGAAGCTATCAAACCGGTTTTCGAAGATTTATCGAAAGACGAATTATTAATTCGTTGTTTAGGAGCAGAGACACAAAACAATAACGAATCTTTGAATTCTTTGATTTGGACTTTCGCTCCTAAACATCTTCATTCTGGTCCCAAAGTTGTTGAAATTGCTAGCTACTTAGCAGTTATTATCTTTAATGAAGGTATTTTAAAAGTTATGTCGATTATGGGATGCCCTGTTGGTCGTGAAGCCCAAGCGTATGTTGAGAAACGGGATGAAAAGCGAATCTTACGCTCTGAGCGGCGCGTAAGTGATGTCGTTAAACAAGCCAGGATTGACTCAAGAGCTGAACAATCTGCTTTAAAAGAGTTTCACGAGGAAGAGGAAGGAATACTCTATGGACCAGGCATCGCCGATTGAGAGTAAGTTGATATTTTAATAGTTTTTAACGGACTTGAAACTTTAAACGCGTTTTTCTCAAAACTGTGTTTTTCAAACTTTCCTCCATTGTATCTCAGAAACGGCTGGACCGAATTACTTGAAATTTACAGGGCACACTCAATATATGTAAACACATGGAATGAACTATTATCAATCGAAAATTTTCAAAACTTCGATTTTTTTATAGCAAAAAACAAAAAAAAAAAACGCCTAATTTGCAACTTTTATTTCAAATGTCTATCAAAAATCCAATTTTTTTTATATTCATTTGATTATAGGTCATTCCGTGCTTTTAAGCCTACAAATTAAAACGCCGTTTTTTTTTTTTTTTTCAGATAAGCCGATCAGCCGGAATCGTGGAGGAAGTGGGAGCTCTTTTTTTCGAGGCGGGGGTGTTCAGAGCGCTGTAACTCTAGTTTGACTGAATATTTTTAGCTGAAATTTTATATTTATACTGTCCAAATATGTGTTAATAAATGATAAAAAACTTGAAGCTCTAAATATTTACTGGTCGTAGAAAAAAAATCCTAAAATATCCCTAAAAAACAGGCCGTCACATAGGAAGACCCCCTTAATTAAAAAAGATTATCTACCAGTAAAACGGTTACATGTATAACGTGTACGCTACAACGTGGAAATAAAAGTCTTGTTTATTAATTTAAAAATATACGTAACAAGATACGCGTTCTTTGAAGTTAACGGAAAATTTGCAAAGGAAATTATGGAATGCTTTGGCTCTAGTGTCAAGTTGCTGCGTTGGCGTGCGAGGGGCGGGCGGCGCGGCGGGGCGGACTCGGCTCAATGAAAATATAAATAAACACAAACACATAGATTGCGCCCTGTTGATCTGTTTTCCATTCCAAGAACTGAGAATAACTGGGTGTAGTCGTAACAGCGAACAACTTGGTTTATTATATTTCGTTGACTGGATTCAGATATTAGCTACGATAGCTACTGTTTAACTATTGCATAATAGAACGGGCTATCAATCCTCCAATAATTTAGATGACACCCACACGACAGTGAACCCTAATCTTTTCAAATTGTAAATATTGATAAATAAACTATGTCTATATTATTTTGTGCAAAAAAGTTTTCTTTTATATATAAGATAAAACTAGTTTTAGAATATTTTTTTATGTTATCAAAATGTGAAAAGAAATAAGAAAGTTGCTTTATATGATAATACTATTTTGAAGTAAAAATTTCTATATCAATGTAATTATCTATTCAGTTTAGCAACTGCATACTTTTGCAGAGGGGTCCTACCAGTTCTAGCTGCATTAGTTATAATCGTCTCTTGTTGTTGTTTTTTTAGTTTACAGAATTAAATTTATTTAATTTCAATTTCACGTCAGTCATTGCAAGTGAGTACTAATCTTATTTCGCTACATAATACTTACTCTACCACCGAGAAATATTTCTATGGATTCCTGTTAACCGACATATAATATTAAATGAAATACAATCTCCTTACCGCAGGAGGCAGTGGGTGGGTATAAAATAAATCACATAACTCTTGTTTTATTCTTGACACCATTTTACTTTGAGGGTGTAGATATAATAAATAACACATTGTATATTTGTACTTGGGCGACTGAACTCCACTCGGAATATTGTAAAATGTGTTTTATAAATGTAAAACAAAACAGAAATTTATCTCAATACAAAATTTGATCCCTAAATTGAATGTATTTAATGAACCGAAATAAATAATTCTTTGTACTGTCATATTTCTCTGTTATAAATACTACGTGTAATTTCTTGAGAATTAGTTGAGCCATTATTGCCAAGAGGTAATAAACAAAATTATTTGCACGTTTAGTAGTAAGGTTTACATAGTTACAAACCAAACACATATATTTCATACGTTTCACCGGGAGTTCATGCGTCCTCGTCAATAAACATACGAATTATTGCTACAGTTGGTATCATACTCGGGCCGATCATCCCGGCGGCGTCGTCCTCACGTCCCCGGCGTGCGACGTCGAGTTCAAAGTACGCATTTAACAGCACGACGCGTACGATCTGAAACAATGGAATGAATATATACCATATAATATAATATAGTATATACTGATTGTATTGTTGGCCAATTATTTTATGGCGATATTCTTTTGGGCAATTGGAACGACAATCAAGCTTACCACCTTATGAAAAGTAGCACCCGTCGTTTGAGCGTTGAACACGAACATCACCACAAACAATCATTGATACGATGGCCCGGACACTTGCCTTTCTTTCAACAGTTCTTTTTTGAATAGATGATAATGAAATGTTGGCGGATGTTAATGAGGATGAAGTCGGCTCATTAAGCTCAGCATACATATTCACCAGGGAATTTTAACGATGGTTTCCAGGAAGAACCGCTTGAAAGTCGACTTGATACGATATTTTACTAGAAATGTTCTTGTTACTAATAATCCCTTTCCCACACTGGTAAACAAGTTGATTAATTGTGAACAACGGTAGTATTGGAAAGGTTGGCTTAGTCAAAATAGCGAAAGTCAGGGTTCTACCATGTAGTTTGAGAATATTGCCCAAGTTACGGAAAATAAATTAATAGCTCTCGTAATATTATGGCTTTTTAGGGACAGTTTGCGGATGAACAGGTTACAAACATAAATGTCATACAAGTTTTTGTCCGCACCAATAAATCGAATGTTATTAGATGTCTATCCTAAAGGTAAACACTCGATTGGAAACACGCCTAATTTGTCAATTTTATCAGATTCATAAGCGTACTACTTTTGTGATTCCATGCAGCAACCAAAGTATATAATATTTAGTTATTAGTAAGGATACCTACCTACCGGTATCTGTTCATTGATAAAGTTTAAGATTGGCACATAATAATATATAAAACTGTAACAATATCAGTCTATGTAAGTATCTATAATAGTTAATTATTGAACTACCCATAAGACATATCTATGCGATCTTGTATTTAGTCATTGACACAATTAATTTAATCTAATAATATTAATGTATTTGACATTTTGCGAACCGGAATTGGATCAGGCAAAGCGTTATTTTTTGCGATTGGTTTTAAGTTGATTATTAAATTTATGGTATAATAATCTTTAATAGCGCATAAGTATAATGACCATTAATATCCTAAGTTTATATATTATAATTGTTTACATTCATAACGTTGTGACACAGTGACGGTGGATATCTAATACTATCAGTACCTTGTCATGCGTATCATAAACAAAAATTACGACTTACAATTCTTTATCAATAAACAAACATTGTTTAATTAGTTTTATGTGGCGTGAAACGTGCGTTTGGACTTAGTTGAACGATCTCAGAACTTCCACATGCTACTACACTCGTGTTTGTTTTCACGCTGATAATGGAAAGTTTCATTGCTATTCGTGATCACTAATATTATTTCTTGTTGCCGATAACGGCTTACTGCAGTTGAATTATACACGTGCTGAGTTGCATTATAGATATACAATGCACGTGCATAATAAAATCATACTATAATTTCTACTTTTGTAATAAGTTAGTAACAGCTGAAGTTATGCAATCAATCAGTACAGATTGAGTTTACGTCCTCCAGAGCTGTGAATAATCGATAAAAAGTGTGCGTAAGCAGAAGTCCATATACAAGTATGAGCGTAACTTACACTCTTATCGGATTTACACGTGCCCACAGTTTACTATGCTACACTGTATTATTGTATTATAGTACTATCATACTTCCAGGTGGCTTTTTTGTCACAATTTGCGCCAATTGTGCTAATCTTCGTAACGTACGTCATCATACACTTTTCTTTGGCTAGTCATTCAATTGGCAATTAATATTGATTTATTATACATCAAATATGTGGGCTGATTTATTGAAAATCAGTTTCGTTATTAGGGTCTATTGTGTTATGGATTTGTCTCTAATGGATACCCGTATGGATTCATTCAACGGACGCCGAGAGCGTGTTTTTAATTTAATAATTCGCCCCTGCATCTAGTATCATAGTACTCATATAGTAAATTATTATATTATCATATAAGCAATACCGTAGAAACCTGTTCTGTAACAATATTTATGTGAATGTTTAGTGAAAGTTATGGGTTAGGTTTATGTTGCGTTTTAGACCATTTAAATGTAGAGGTCGACATTTAACATATAATAATAAGTTAAGTGTGCCAGATTACAGTGCTCGAGGTGGGTTCACCTATCCAAGGTGAGCAGACGGCGAGGCGACGAGACGCACAACGACCTCTATTCCCGACTTACTGGTTTTCTAAATTAAATCTTGTATTTTATAGACGCGATTGAAATTCTATACTGTCTGAACTACATAATTCACACCAGAGCGTTCATTTATAAAGTGACTTTGTTAGCCATATATTTATAGATTGAACGATTTTTGCAACAAATGATTTTTCGAATGCTGTTGTCCACCACACAACAGTCCACCACGATTATTATATATTTAAGAGGACTAATTCTTATATCATATTTAAAATAATATAACTGATGTTCACAATCTACAGTTATTGGTTGATACCGTTAAAACATTGTAGAAGTTTATTATATTTTCTTTAATTTGTTAATTTGTACATTATAATATCAAATATAATATGTATATATGACAATACAATAATTATGAACAATTAAAAATGAAAATATTAATAAATTATTTCATAGTGATCAATGAACAAAACATATATAGTATACGTACACTTTGTTTAAATGATAATTGTCATATGGCTTTGGTATATATATTAAGTCATTATCGTTTAGTACTATCTATAATTTAATCAATAATGCTTTCAGCAATATATCGAGGCTGCATTCAACATACTTCCGAATTCCATTGTAATCAATTGAATTTAAACTTATATGTAAAATATAAATATTTTTAAACAATTAAAAATAAATCTAAATTGAAAACTGCTATATTTCTACTACGGGACACCGCGTTTAATGAATTGATCTAAATCTTTATTTACTCCGGTATCAATTACGTAATAAATAATATTGCATTTCGTGTTTTTAGATCGTTATAAATCTTGTTAGATTTCGCGAGGCTCGTATCAAGATCTAATAAACAACGCTCCACCAAGGCCGAATTAAACGGATGTCACGCCGACATGGGGCGGTATAATTGCTTCATACTTTGAATTTTATTGCTTTATTACTCTATTATACACCCCGTTAATATTTTTGTTAACGTTTATGGCTAGCGTGCGACTGAGAGTAATGACTTATATATGATACCCGCTGATTGATTGTTGATTTCTCTTCTTCTAGTTCCATGATAGAGAAACTAAAAATTACAGTAGTAATCTATGACGATACTCGGGATTATTGTAATATCTTGTTTATGTTCTAGTTTTATTATTATTTCAAGCTTTTTAATAATTTCTGTCTAACACTTATCTGTGTAGTTTCAACATAATATATTATTAAATATGCCATAATTTATTTTGTATAAATTTCTGCATATTGGTTCCAATTTCCAAGTGTAAGTATACAGATTGGATTCAGGTCGAGTCATGTCTAGAAGTTATACCTAAAAACTATTATAGTTTCAAGGGAACCGTTATTGTACATTTACTGCATATTCTAGCAGGCAAATAAAAATATTGATGTGAAAAAAATATTGTTAAGATATTTCAATCTTTAAAATTAAATAAAACATTAATCTAGTTAGTCTCGTGTCTGGGTCGAGATTGTGAACAGATGGGCTGTGTCAGACGGTCGAGGCGCGTCATGTCTGGGGCGCCGAGCGCGAGGGGAAAAGGGCAAAATTAGTTAGGGATCTACACGCCCGTTGAACCCTAAGGGCGGTTGTTGGGATGTCTCGGGTGAATGTACTGAAGCCAAACTCTCCCCACAATACAAATGTATCGTTCTAAGTTTGTATGGTCTGTTGCTATATGTATTATTTAAGTAACTGGAATAAGTTGTAATAGCTGTGAGATGCGTATTTAAATCCTGTTCATTTATATTATTAAAAGATACTCGTAAAATATAGAATATTTTTTAATACAGGCTTTTAATAACAAACTAAGACTTTCTAATACTTTTTGGAAAATCATCTCTTATTATTACTTAAAGGAAATTTACAGTTTTCTGGAATACTAAAGCTGGTTTCCAGATTATAACCCCTTTTCCGTTGTGCAGTTATAAATTACAGATGCATTTATAGTTATTCTTGCCATCAGCTCACTGCAGTCCACTGCTGGACATAGGCTTCTGCCAACTTATGCAACTAAACACTCAGTAAACAATCTTTTACTCGCAACCCTACGTATACGTCGTATTAATGTTACTCCACCTAGTTGCATTGCGTCCTGCATTACATTTGTCATTTACAATACGCAAGTTTCACGACGTTGAACAATATTATAACTTAGTGAAACTAACAAATGACGTACTATATAAATAAATATTTAAGGACTTATAGACAAATTGAAGGACGCCTCAACTGATCTTCAGACAACCTTATTACCTTAACTAATAATTTTAGAAACATTTACGAATTTCTAAAGGTTTGCTAGGTTAACACTCCTCAGCTGGAACGTTCTGAGATTTTTATTTACATTTTCTGTCAATTCTTAAAATTTGGTATATACTACATATTATTTATGTCAATTAATTCTTCATTTTTGATTAACTGCCATTCAGTATAGGTTAAAATGTAATGTGTTTTTTTAATTCCCAAGCTAATTGAGCGTTTTGATCCTTATAATTTTACGAACTACTCTGTTGCCGTGGCCTTTACAGCTTCATCAAATGAAACAGTTTCTGGCGAAAACAAGTACAATACTTTTTTTTACAAAGACTTGTTTTTAAAATTCTGCACGTCATTGCATTAAAATTGTTTTCCTAAAATTCGTATTATGCACTGTCATTTTGTATAAAGACGTATTTCATTATTGACAAAAACAATAATGAGAACAAGAATATTCTTTGGTTCGTTTATGGTTTACTGAGCGTTGCACACGCGGCACCGGCTATGCCGTTCCCATGATATTATTGAAAAATCCTTTTTTTACAAAAATAGAAA